AAGGCTGTCTGTCTCCTGGACTTTCTATTTCCTCTATTGGATCTAGGAAAACAATGAAGGATGGTTGTCTGATCCCGGCTCCTCGAACAGCAGCTGCTTTACACGCATACGCAAACTGGTCCACCTTTACTTCTCTCTAGCTTTCTGCTTTTCTTTTCAAGAGAGCGATTGACGATCACCGTCTAGCTCAGTGCTCAAGCTGTCCTTGCCAACCCAGTGCACTGCCCTCATCTGTGTGGAGAGCCTGACTCAAGCAGAGACCACCTCACTTCTGTCTTCTTGCATGCTCACAGCCATCTGGCCGTCTGTCTTTCACCTCAGCTTCACTCACCCTCTGGCACTGTCCACAGCGAGCTCACTAAGCTTTGGACCCTGACCCCCAGCACCCCACACCCTCACCCCAACACTGAAGCACCTACCCATACAATGTCTAACACTGGTGCTCTCTCTGTTTCCAATGTTGACCAATCACAACACACCCAATTTAAGGAGACTAACAGATAAAACCAAAAAAGACACTCTTGGTTTAATTTCCTTAATTATGAAAAGCTGCTACTCTAGTCAAGTTCAGGGAGGAAGCACATTATAAAAAGAGAACATGGGCTTTAGAGTGAAGTACACCTCTCCCTCTGACCAGGGAAGGTATGAATGAAGGGATACCTGTCTTGCTACTTTGCAGGCTTGCTAAGAACATGAATAAAATCAAGTGTTGCCTTTACTTGCATGGTAAACTAGGCTGACAACCTAGGCTATCTGAAGGCATCTATGGTTAACATACCCCACTACAAAAGTAGGCAGCACCATCACCGAGCTCTGTGGACAAGAAAGAAAACTCCTCGTCCCCCTCCCACCCTAGGTGGGGAAATCAAGTCTCCAAATTGGGGAGGAAAATAAAAGAACTCAAGTGTTTGATATGTTCTGTTGGTAAAACAGAAAAGGAAAGTTGATGTCAATTAGTGGGAATAAGGCTTGAGCTCTCACACCAAGGGATACCAGTGCTAGAGTGATTATTTAGATTGAAGACATAACTTGTCTAGACTATTCAGATAAACACACAAAGGGTCTTCTCACCTTCCAACAAGCTCCATCTAACTAGTATACTTTATAAAAAAAATTTTCTTTCATCTTTTATATTTTATATTATACCATCAGAAACTTGAACAAAAGACATGGTAGATGAAGAAATTCAAAATTCAAACTCTCCCCTGAGATGCTGTACACTTCTTTATGAAACATCAAAATGTTAGTTAAATACACAAGAATCAGAACAAAGCTTTCCTCAGGGTTGTTGGCCAAGCTTGGTCTCAACAAGAGAACTTTCTGCATGCCACTGCAACCTCTTAGGAGTGATAAGTGAACTAGTAATAACATTAAAGTTCCTAAATGAAGAACTTTGGCAATAAAAACAGACAATTCTACTTCAAAGATGGGTGGTCCTGCTAGTGCTTCTCTCAAGTGAGTAATATTTATGGCTCTTCTGGCCTTCACTGAGACTTCAAGTGGTACCTTGGGCTCTTCAGAACCCACTATACAATCTCACCTTCCCAGTGTGCACCACTTCCATCCACCTCAGCATTGCCATTCTGAGCCTCTGGTTTTGAGTGATTAGGAAAGGAACTCACAACTTCTTGTTCTGCACACCCTATAATTTGAATCTTTTCCAGACTCAGAAATTCAGGGATCAGCACATTTTTGTCTTTAACATATACCAAAGAAATACTCTGGGGTTTGATATGTTTATGTAAACATCTTCAAAGAAGTCAATGTATAATTCAAGAAAATATTCTATGAAAGAATTTGTTTTCTGATTACAAAATGATTTCCTGCTCTTGAAAAACTAACAGTTTTGTATTTACTTAGCTGGCTCTGAAGGTCCCATGGAGAGTATCACTCCTCTCAGGTCCTTAACATCTCTTTTCCAAGTGCAAGTATTTGCTGGTTTCAAAGGTAGCTCTATGTTTAGAAGAATTTACAAGTGAAGACTCCTCCCTGACTTAACCCTTTAGATGCTCACTGACAACACTGCAGACAGACTCGAGCACCTCTGACTCCTTTTCCACCAGGTAAAGCAGCCTTAGTAACTACAAAGTCTGTTAGACCACCCAGTGAACACCCAGCACCCACACTGTGACTCCCTCCCCTAATAAGCCTTTCTTGCACTTTGGGCAGACTGGTGCAACAGCCAGGTCCGCCATGGAGGTAGGAGGCATCTAATGGAAGAGGCCACAAGTGGAGAAAGAAAGGAGGAGTGGCTTCACCTACACTGCTGAAAGCCCTTGGCCAGCAGCATGGCTGCAACCTTTCATGCTCTGGGCACTCCTAACTCTCTACAGCGTACACTTTCAAGATTCAGTTTTGCTATTTTCCTTGTAACTAGTCTGTTTCCTTTGAAACAGCAGCAGTGTTGGGGACCAATAGCTCTAACTTGGGTTTTCTGAGACAAACCTTTCTACTAACGTGGTGGTCTCTGTGACTTCCACCAGTGTACCTTGACCAGGGCCAAAAGGTACAGAAAGTGGTGGTACCACCCATCAACCTGATCTTCAGAAAGCTGCAAAATAGGTCTTTGATTCAGCTGTGGCTCTGTGAGCAAGTCAGTGTGCTGATAGAGGGTTGTGCTACTAGCTTTGATGAGTACATGGACCTCAGACTAAATGATGTAGAAGAAAGTGTTTCCAACTAGCAATGGTCAAGCATGGGAGAAGTTGAGAAGGCAGTACCGTGCTTTTAAAGGTGTTTTAGCACAGTCTGAAACAGTTACTAATATTGCTTTAGAAGCCCTTATGTTATCAGGTGACAATAAAGGCTATGAGATTGTTTTTGTTACAAAGGAAGGAAGGAAGGAAGGAAGAAAGGAAGGAAGGAAGGAAACTTGTTTGACAAAACTAATGGTGATCTTTGGGCCTTTATAGCCTGTTTCCAAGGCTAAGATAACCTGTGCTTCTCTTTAGCATAGGAATGAAGAGAGGACCCCAAAGGGTTTAAATGCTTAAGGCTTTATAATAAGAACCACATGAGACTGGAGATATGGTTCTATGGGTAAAATACTTGCCATACAACATGACAACCTGTTCTGAATACCCAAAGGTAAAAATCCAGAGGTACAACCTGAGGGAAAGAACTCTCCCCCCCCCCCCCTCCCACAAGCTTGCAGGCTAGCACCCCGGTCTGCAGAGCAGAGAGCCTCTCAAACAAGGAAGAAGGTGAGGACTGACCTCTGGGGCTGTCCCCTGATGGCTACCTAGGTGTCTTGGAATAAATCCCTGCCCTCAAACACTGCTCTCTTCCCAACAAAAGCCTGTAATACACACAATACAGAGCAGATGATCTGAGATCCACTCTGAACTGAGACCCCAGCGGCTGTGAGTGTGTGTGTGTGTGATCTTTTTAGGAGGCCCATGGGATCAATCTATTTTAAACTGACACTAAGATGATAGTTTCCTTTACTTTTCCTTTATTATGTGCAGGTGAGTTTACAGGGTCTACAAAGACTGTGAGGATGTCTTCCCTGGTGATAAGAGTATGTGCTTTGGGATCTTATGTCTTGATATTATCTCATTTTTCCTATCTAAGTAAACAATGAAAGGTGAAACCTGCTTGCTACCGTCATTAACTTTAAGTGTGTAAAGTGCTGAGAACCACTAAAGTGGAGTTTTAGTCTGACCCAGAAGTTACTGTCCCAGGCATGCTGCCTTCCTCTCCACCTCACTCTGTGATGTTCTTTCTGCCTAAAAGACTCCTTCTCCATGCCTGATTAACTACTTTTAGCCTCTGTTTAACTGCTACCTGCTCTGTGGTGCTTGCCCTGATTTTTTCCACCTTAAACTGGATGGCCCTGCCATTTGTCGCCCATTACCTAACATGTTCTATTGGGATTGCCTACTTTCTGTTCTTGACATTGTCCAGACCAGGAATGACTTAGTTAATGTTCTGACTATGACACAACAATATACAGTAGGTGTTCAGTAAATCTTTACTCAATATATAAACAACCAAGTCATGAAGACAAAGCCATAGATCTACCTTACATTTCACCTACAGGCACGAGTTTGCATCATAGGGCAGGATACACATCTGACGCAGAAGCAGGCAGTTCGTCTCTGGAACTACACACTGTGAACCATTTCACACAGTCCCCCTTGTCAGTAGTGTAGACTTCAGGTTTACAGTATGTCCTGGGATCTCAAGGCCAACTCTCATTCTGCTTATAATCTAGCAGCATGCCATGAAGTTTCAATCAGTCCCTCTCCATGCCAAGGTGAGCATGCACAACAGCCATGTGAATGCAGACTTTACAACAACTACCCATTACCAGGTCAGGGTTTCTAATAGGACAGCTCCAATTAGTTCTCATTCATTTGTTGTACTTAAGTAAAAAGAACAATAAAATCCTATATTTACTGAAAACAAAAGCCAGCAAGGTGGCTTGGTTTTCCATTGCTTTGATAAAACACCAGGACCAAGGCAAAGACTAGAAGAGTTTATGTGAGCTAATGGTTCCAGAGAGTTAATAAGAGTCCTTGATGGCAAAATAAAGGCATCAAAAGGCAGGAACAGGAAGCTGACGCTTTATATCTTGAACCACAAGCAGGAAGCAGAGAGAGTCAACTGGAAATGGTATGAGTCAACTTTCCCAAACAGTGCCACCAACTAAGGACCAGGCATTCTAATACCTAAGACTCTGGGTGACATTTCTCATTCAAATTGTTACAACGTTGAGCAAGGAATGGCCAGAATATTCTATAGGAATACTTAATGAAAAAGCATGTTGTAGAATTTAATACACAGGATAATCTGCCAAATCAGTGTATACTGGTTCATACTTGAGGTTCATGAAGTAATATGTGAGAGATATCTGGTCGTTGAGAAGCAGAAATAAATAAATTATACAGATAAACTTAAAAGCCTATGTATTAAGTCTTCACATGCTAAGAATACATAAGAACCAAAAGTTCATCTTGTGGTGTTCGATGGAAGTCACACAGAGTCACTTTACTTACTTGCAGAAGCGTCCCATGAATATGGTTTTGTCGGAAACACTGGTCAGTGCTGTTGGGAAGTGAATCCAGCAGAGCATGGACGGTACTTGGTATTTGGTCTATCATAATGAAGGGGACCAATGCACGAGCTGCCATTTCACGGGAGCGGTAAATAGGTGAGCGACCACACCTAGGTAGAAATAGAAACATAGTATCATTCAATGCTTGTTTCCAAATCTGTATCTTTGTGTATGTTTATTTACAGGATCAGTACCTCATTTGAAATTATTGTTCACATATTTTCCTTATTCAAGAGATGTTTTTCTTTGTACATGTATAAGTTTCATAGTTCACATTACTTTTGCTAAAAATAACACAAGTATATATAATTCTATCACAGGAAAAAAGATAACAGGTGATAGTAAAAATGGTTTGCTCCTTAGTGATGAACACATTAACTGGACACCTATGAAGAGCAGAAAGTGCTGCGTTAAGTCCCACGCACAGCAAGAGTATCTGAGCAGCCTACATGCTGGCTGGAAAGATGAGATGCACATTTGAAACAAGGGGCAAACCCAAGGCAGTCTAGAGAGAATGATGAGAATGATGAACAAGTGATCTGGGTGCTGTGGTTACAGAGCGAGGAGAGAAAGCCTAGGAGTCAGGAAAGCATGGTTCTAGTTGGAGCCCTGGCCAAGAACAGTGGTTGTACATAAAGCAAGGACAGGAAGGCTCAGGAGACACATGGATGTTTCTGGATCAATCAGGTACTGATGTTAAGGTTAAAGAACTGATAGGATGATGGGACAGGCCACACTGAGAAGCATCATGGCAGTATGCCTCCAATGGCAGGCAACATGGTACAGGGCGAGACATGAACCTCAAGGCTCCATAGCCTCACTACTGGGCTGACTCAGACAGAGAGGAGGAATTAAGCAAGGGACAGGCAGAGACAAGTGGCATTTTGTGATGCTTTGCAGAGCACTGGGAAGGCAGGCAGCTAAGGGCTTTCTAACATTGTAAATATTTAGCTCCTGAGAGGTCACAGCCATTTTGCTGAGTGAGACTGTGAAGCTGAGAGAGGTTTTGAAGACACAACACAGATTATAAGAGAGAAGTTCAATCTGGCAAGGTCTCAGCCTAGTAAGTTCTTTGCTAGACATCTCTAGACTCCATGCTACTTCATCCACTTATAAAAGCAACTCAATTGCAGAGCTGTCTTAGATGCCAAGGCAAAAGATCAGAAGACAGGGGTTCTATCTGACAGAGAGATGGCCTCTTAACTTTCCTCAACAGAAAACATTATTCTAAGAAGAATTTGTATATAATCTGTAGGGGCCATGGCCATGGAGATGAAGGAGATGGAGGGGCAGTCATGGGAAGAAATGTTTATATTTCAGAAGTACCACCAAAGTGTACCTTAATATAAGAATAAAAACAGATGACATTTCTGGGGCCAGAGAGATGGCTTACTTAAGACACCTTCAACATATACCTGGTAACCTGAAACTCATGTAAAGAGAGAATCAACTCCACAAAGCTGTCCTCTTAACCTCCACACTCACCATGGTATGTGTACGCCACAAGTGTGCACGCATGCACATGCACACACACACACACACACACACACACACACACACTACCATTTCTATATGAGCAGAATGGCTTAAACGTTCATCATGTGTGTATTGGGACACAAGGTAACAGAGGAGAGAAAGTAGACATTGAGTGGAAACCACAGTCAGCCTATCAGCGCCGACACAGACTGACACATGGGAAGGACAGCCAAGGCTTCAGCAGGTACCTGTGAATTCCTTTCTGGCTTTAACTAGGTTCTGACAACTCACCCAGTTTCTCGCTCATTTTCCTTTAAAACAATTAAACATTTAATCTGTAATTGGGAAACACAGTAAAATGTTTGTCTTGGCCTATGGAGGCAGAAAAGTTTATTCAACAAAGGAAAGAAAATATTTTGAAAATGCTTTGCAATCTAATTAGCAAGTGCATTCACTCTGGACAGCTGCAATTTTGAAGCTTCCCAGTCTGTCCCCTACCCAGCCCCAACTCACACCCTGTGTTATAGTGTTTTATGTTACCAAAAGGGATCATATATATATATATATATAAAAATGCTTCCTTTCAATTACAAAGAAAAGACTTTAAATATTTAGTTTCCAATTAGCAACCTTACACTAAAGAATGGCCCTCCCTCTGCTCCAGACCTTTTCCAAATTCTGATTTCCCAAAGAAAGCTGGCATTTGTAAAGGGGAAAGAATGGAAGGTAGGAAAATGCCAGAATGTTCTGCTTTCCACACCCAGCTTTAGGTACTTACTAATGTATCATCAGGTTATCAAGCAGAACTAAAATTATCCTAAAGAAGTAATGCATGTTTACTGGGCATGCTAGTTCATGCTTTTAATTCCAAAAAGCTAGGAGGAAGAGATCATTATGTATACCCAGCCTGCTCTACACAGCAAGTTCTATGGCTTGTTCCCTCAGATCTGTATGGTGGAAGGAGAGAACTGACTCTCAAACCTGTGCTATGGCATGTATGTACCCAAACCCATATATACTCACGAAATAAATTGAAATTTAAAAAAATTTAATGAAAGGTAATTTTACACTCTTCTAGTGTAAACTATATAAGCAGGAAGTTAGATTACAGTTAAAAACACATATATGTACATGTGTATACACACATACGAACACTAAGCAAAAACACACTTGCAGGTTTTTAACAGTTGTTGGGGAGAAAGAAGGGAATGTGTTAAGAAAATTTAGGCCAGATGGTGGTGGCCCACGCCTTTAATTCCAGCATTTGGGAGGCAGAGGCAGGCAGATCTCTGAGTGATAAGGCCAGCCTGGTCTACAGAGCCAGTTCCAGGATAGCCAGAGTTACACAAAGAAACCCTGTTTTGAAAAACAAACAAACAAACAAACAAACAGAACCTAGGGGCTATTAAAATAGTAAACCACAGAGGTGGTTTCTCATCCCATGTTGAACACTAAATTTTGTGATTCAGATATGTCACAAAACCTCCCCTCATTAAACTTGCTTATAAATACCAGGCAACTGTGGTCTGCTTTCCATACTGCTTAGCTATCTGCTCTTGGGAAATGGTGCCCACTAATGACTGAGACAATCTTACTTTCCAGGGTACCTCTGAAGGCTAGGGGAGGAGTAGGTTCCCAGTTACACTAGTAAAACAAATCTTCATTACTGCTTCATTTGTAATGCCTTTGAAATGTGCTTTGACCCTGGAACCCTTGGGGAACTTCTTTCTCTCCATCTGAATTCCAATAGGGCATGAGCTCTTTTGTCAGCCTTGCTGCATCACCTCTGGTCAGAGCCATTTGCTTTCATCCCTATGCAGTTATTGTAAGTACACAGTCTTCCCTGTGTCCACACACAGGACATTATCTCATTTACCCTTCCTTCCCACAGCAACCCCTGGCTACTACCTAGTCTACTACACTGAATGACATTGAGAACAGAAACTTGAGAGCATACAGGACAGGAATTAAGAGCATGTTCTGGAATCTAGCACACCTCAGTGTAGATTAAAGTACTCTCACTAGTGTGGGTCTCAGGGAAAGCCAACACACTTTCTAAGATTTACTCACCTTTCAAGGCTACTGTGAGCTTCAATGAGATAATGAATGTACAGCCCAGTGCCCACCAGAGGAGTGGTAACCAGTTATTATAATCTGATAGGTAGGATCATTTGAAAACTTAAAGCTTCTGTGAACAAGTATATTTTCTGTTTTTTTCTCCAGTGTTCTCTGTGTCAAAACAGGAAACAGAGCTTTGCCTGTACCAAACATACTTCATGTGCTCACAGAGTCCCACCCTTTACTCTCCATCCAAATAAGCTGCAAAGCAGAGCAGATGCTTCAACCTCTCTGCTCTTACAGCTTCATTCTCCAGGTCTAGGGCTCAAATGCATGTTCTGTTCACTCCACTGGTATCATAGCAAAGATGTTTTCCATTGAATGCTGTTTCAAATCTTGCCTTCAGAAAAAATAATCCTGGGTGGGTATGTATGCATGTATAGAAGAGAAAAATACTTAAAAGTCTGCATCCAATAAATTTAAAAATCTATATATTTGTGAATGTCATCTTCACATTCTCAAAGCATTCAGTGATGGTCCAGGTTAACAGGTTCTCTCAAGGCCCCTAAACCTGTTTCTAACTCATCGAAGAATCTATTGCCAACTGCACTGGCTTTTTCCTGTCCACTCACATTGGTAGCTAGAACTTAACAATTGTACTTACTCACACCCTCAACTCAGTTCATCATGGGTTTCCCCACTCAAATATATCAAATATAAATGGATTAGGACTTTTGGAATTAAATTGAAAAAAAAACCAATCCTTCCTTTGGATTTATGAGAGAGGAATAAGAACAGTAGATACTTGCTAAGCTAAAAATTGCACATTGTCAGGTCTGATGAGCAAAACAAAACAAAAAATATCATGTATGTGCAGGTAAAATGGGCATCTCTATGTAAATTAACTGTGATTGATATATCAAAACCTTATGAAGAAACACTGACAGTAATAAGCCACAACAGAACATTAGAGAACTGGGGTAAGGCCAACGCAGGACCCAGCCTGGGTCTGAGAAGATGCATGATTCTGCAGTAGCCTGCACTCTGCTGCTCAGTCACCAGGCCTTACCCAGCTCCTAATTTGGCAGCTGCACATCGCCGTCAGCAGCACCCAGCCACATCATGTGACAAAGACACATGAACGCAGAGGGACAGTGACTGCATGCACACCATTCCTTTCAGTGCTGGGTAATGACATGAATGAGTTTCTCTAAAAGAAGGATGGAAGGGAAATGTGCAGAATTTATGTTCAAAAAGCCCTTGGACAGTGCACTTTCATTATTCAGAATTACAATTACTTCTTCAATAATGAAGAGATGTATGGCTTTTAAATGCTAATTCCTGGTTCTCTGCTTCTACAAAAATAGAGATGAAATATAATCTTCATATTTCATCTAAAATTTCATTTCAACTATTCATCACCTTTCTGCCAATAATGAATAACATTTGAAAGTAAAGTTTCGAGATCCTAATCAAGTGTTTTAGACAGTTGGGAAGAAGATTTTCTCTGTAATACTGAAATACAGTTTCCCTTTAGTAATAACTCTTTATAAGTATTTCCACACAAAGACACTGG